TCGCGCTTCCTCGGGGAAATTGCTGCAGAAAAATGTACCTTGTTTACGGCCTGAGAAGTGTCAAAAAACTTTTTGACGTATAAAACGTATTCTGATGTCACCTTTTTCCCTAATGCATTTCCAGCCAGATTCCTCTCTTCTCCTTACGTCATATCCTTCTATTTCAGAGTAGGTGCCGTCTTACTTCACCGTTTTGCAAACGAAGCCGAAAAAGAAATTGCTAACGCAACAAGATCTCTTACGCCTGCAGAACGTAATCACTCACATATAGGGAGAGGCACGCTGAGTATGGTTTTTGAGGTAAAGAAATTTCATAATTATCTATCGGGAAGAAAGTTCACATTGTTTACGGATCGCCAGCCTCTGACGGTGATTTTTTTACCGTACGAGAGGTGCCTCTTCGGTAGCAGAGAGTTGACTACAGCGATGCGCTTGGTTCTTCATGACTTACACATACCGCATTCAATACTACCCCACAAAACATTCCGTTTATGCAGATGCTCCTTCGTGGCTACCGAAGGCATTCGATGATGTTTTTGAGGAATCAGAAAATCCTGAAGAGTGTCAAGTTAATCAAGTAAACGCTGGCTCCTTAGAATCATTGTCGACTTTATCGGTAGGAGTGATAAATGCTACATAGCAGGGCAAAAACTTGGGTTGATGAAGCAACAAATTAAAAAGGGGTGACAAATAAGCTGAATGTTGCTAGAGTTCTTCTCTATTTTCAAAAACGCTTTGAACTTTCGGTAACTAATGATTCAGTTATTTAGAACTCGCGTATTACTGTTCCACCTGACCTACGTGAACATGCAGTAGGAATTTTGCATTCTCTTCATACTGCAATTCAAAGAATAAATTCGGAGGCCCAGCAGTATTGTTATTGGCTCAAAATGGATGAGGACATTGAGAGCTGCGAGTGAAACTGTGTATGCAGCATAGTCCTCAAAAGATTTCTCGAGAGGCTTAACTGTTGCCTCTTCACAAAGTGAAAAACCATAGACGCATTTGCACGCCGATTTTGCGAGACTTGTTAAAAGTAAGTACTAACTGATCCTGGTAGATTCTGTATTTAAATGGCAAGAGTATTTTTTTTTAAATTCTATAACTGCTAGATTCACAATGGAGTCGTTGAATGACCTCAATTTTTTTGCAAAGTTTGAATGTAAAAAAGGACTAATCAATTGTGACTACAAAAATAAGTAAAGGGAAGAAAATTGGGATCAAGAACAAGCGAGCAAGCATTGAACGACCAAAATTTTCCAGCTTTTTACAACCAACTTAAAAGGATCAACCTTAAGAAACTGAACCTAGCTTCCAACAAAACATTGTTTGTATACACTACTTTCCAGAAAAAAAATTTTTAGCATGGTTATGGCTTATTAGTTAGATCTTTCAGCCCATTTTCGATCGCTTTGATCAATTAGAAGCGTATTTTTCTAAATGGTTCGTGTTTACCGTGCTTCTTCATTGGTGGATTTCGCCCTGAGTCGCTTCCTGTAGGTTTTCAAAATTTAATAATGCATTTTTCAAACAGAAGGAAGTTTTTGCGAAGTAACAAAAAATAGGTTCGCTTTTTGAAATTTTACCAGTGACATTTCGCGTTCACCAAGTATAAAGGTTGTAGCAAAAGATAGTCGCGGAAAGTGTCCTTAACATGTTGTCGGCTGCAACATAGCTTTTGTCTCAAAAACGAAAAGTGCATATCGTCGCCAACATGATAAAAGCAAAGTTTGAACAAGATTAGATTAGATGTTTTAATAAGCCTTTCTTCTTTTTTCAGCCTTCCTTACCAGCTGTTCCATTCCTGCAAGGGAAAAAGAAGCACGATCAGTGTAGGAACGGACAAGGGAGGGACTGTAAGACAAAAAAGTATTCAGGAGGTGGAGGTGAGCGAATGAGAATAACTCCATTATCTTTATTTTTCAGGTTATTTTTGTATCCAACTGCATCACCACTTGAGTATATTACTAGACAGCATAAGCCTTGACCGGCAGCGGCATATGAAAAATGATCAAGCACAGCGAGTATTAAATTACTAAGAATTTAAAAAGTAGAGTTGGACTTCCTAATGAAGAATATTCCTATTCTGTGCCTGCACTGCATACCTTGACTGATGCCAGAAAAATCACAAATTTCCACTAAATTTTGATTCTACTAACTTTCGAATACTTTTATAGCTGAACCATCTTCGGATCAAAAAATTAGAAAAAAGGTTTTGGAAGCGCTATGTAATCTTTTATCTCTTTCTTTGTCACTGTCTTTCTCAAGTAGTTCTCGAAAAAAAACTATCTTTATGTAACAGAAAAGTTTACTGCTTCTCCGTCCAAAAACAAAAATACTACACAATATTTATGGGAGTGCAGACATCGACTCTCCTTTAATAAAGCTCTACAAATCTGCAAAGAATTTAGCACAAGTACGAATCCTGATGAAGTCAAAAGGTGGATAATCAAAGTGACAAAATTTGTGTCCTCTTATTGATGCATAATGGTGTAAGCAAAAATGGCATGGTAGAGATGAAGACGGAAGTCGAGTTAGGTTTAAAACAATTCAATTTCAGTATCAATTTAAAAAAAGAGTCCAAATAAACTTGAAAAGGCTAACATAATAAACATTATGTATTCTTGCAACAAATATTCCAAAATATTTTGTAGTAATTAGTAAAAGTGATGGTTTTCATCCGATTTTTTACGAGAGGACATGCTAAAGGCAGCCAGGAATCTTCCATGATTATTGCTATAAGTGATTACAATCGCGGTTCGTCTCACGTCTTCTTACTTCCTTTCCAAATTGTCTTTCTCTGTCTCGCCCATTGTTTTCCCGCAGCAACTCTCCTCCACTCTCGAGGATCGACCATTTCAAAATGACTCCTCAATAAACCTATACAGTGTCGAAGAATCTTCGACGCCTTTTACAGAAATTTTACTCTCACAAATTAGGAGTAAAGCTCATAACGCGTCCATGACCTTTCACCCTGACAAATTGAAATGGAAATTTCTCAACGGCACTGCTCAACCAGTGGGCGAAAAAATTTTTAATGAACCGTTCTTAGTCTTATTCTTTATTCACGCTGTTTAGCAAGCACTCACGCTGGGACTAATAAACGATCAGTACATAGTTCTTCCATCAATAACGCTTTCCGTCTCAAGTTATCTTTGATAAATTTCTTACCACATATTTCTTCGGCAAGCTGTCATATGGAAAATGAAATGTTTTGGCACTTCCAAACTTAGCTAGCTGGTGCGTATGATA